CTCAGTTGTGCATTTCTTTGCCTCACCTGGGAAAGGCTGAATCTTGGGGTTGGGTGGCTGCTGCTTTTGCCCACAGCTCTGGGAAGGAGCACATTGGCCACCATTCTTTGTGGCCGCAACTCAACAAAAACTCTGAGTGCTCTCCAAATCCTGGTTGTCCCCGAAGAGTTCCAGCCCAAGTCTGCCCTCCCTCTGCCGGAGTCCTCCGGTAAGTGGCTATTGCTATTTTAGCACTGTGTCCTGGCTCTCTGAGCTGTGGAGAGGGCTTGGTGTCTATTCCCCAAGGGTGCTACTCACAGCTAAGACTGCTGCCGTCAGTGGGCTCCCAACCTGCCACCCTCTCATGCCTATGTAGATTCTACCAGTTTCCCTGGTTATATGATCATGTTCTGCTGCTTTTCTGTTGCTTTTTTTCTGAGGATTTCTCTTTATTTTAGTTGTAATTCCAGTTTGGTCCTGGGAGATTGTCTGTGTAGCTTTTATTCACTCTGCCTCCATTTCCACATCCTCTATGCCTATCTTATGTGCAGCTGGGTAGCACAGGCCTCTCTGGTGCCCCCGCACCTTGCAGGACCTGTGGGTAACTGGATCACACATTCCCTTTGGGGATCCGGCTCTATGCCTATGTTATGGGCCGCTGGGTCGACAGGCCTCTCTGGTGCTTCAGCACCCAGCATGTCTCGTAGGTAACTGGATTTCACATCCCTGCTGTGTCACACAGGCTTCTCCAGTGCCCGCGAACCCTGCAGGTCCTGTGGGTAGGCAGCTGGATGGCACCAGTCCCTCTAGGGCTCCGGCTTCCCACTGTACTTGTGAGCTGCTGGACCACACAGGCCTCTGTGGAGTCCTAGGTCCAGCCCCTGGTTGCTGGGAGTGCTGCTGCCCCGTGGGGCTCAAGTCCTGCTCAGCTTTTTCTGTAGTTTTTGGGGATGGGTCTCATCTGCTGGTCTGTGCTTCTGTTGCCTGGGGGTGGATGTCTCCTCCCCAGCCTCTGTTGCTGGAGGCATATCTCCACCCTGACTGGGCTGCTACTGTGGGGGATGGTGCTGGGCTCCGGGCTGTCTGCGGCTTCCATGACCAGCACCTTGGGAGCTCCACTACTGTGCACTGGTCTGTGTTGACACAGAGTGTCCACTGGTCCGATGGTTCCAGGTGCGCTGGTGGGCTCAGGTTGCTGGGCCCTAGCCGCTCCCTCTGCCTCCTCCCAGGGAAAACCCAGGATCTTCCAAAATGGTGGGACCTCCTCGGGGCATAGGGAGAAGCGCCCTGAAGAGCCACTTACTGTGGTAGCCGGCTGCTCCGTCCACAGCACAGAAACCTTCTGCTCCACGTCTCTTCACTGCTTGGGTTTGGTTATCCACCTTCACATCCACTCACACTGTCTCACACATTCGCTCACTCTCTCACACACTCACCCTCGCTCTGGTCCTGCCTGCTGCCATCTTCCCTCTATTGGAATAGTTTTGGTGCTCTTTCAAATCCTAAGCATCCATGGCAGTGTTCCGGGTTGTCACATTTTTTTTCTTTTAAAAATGTGGAATGCTTCCCAAATTTGTGTGTCATCCTTGTGCAGGGGTCATGTTAATCCTCTCTGTATCGTTCCAATCCAGTCTGTCTGCTGCTGAGCAAGCTGTAGCATCTTTGTATTCCTTGTGAGGATAAAAGTCCCTAAGTATGTTCATCAATTTATTTTCCCAAGGTCATATAGCTAGTAAACAGAAGAACTAAGAATTAAATCTAGGGCTCTCAAATTCCAAAGTGTAGATAGATAGATAGATAGATAGATAGATAGATTTTTTTTTCTTTCTCTCCTATATATAAATGCCTCCCAATATTTTAGGTATATTTCCCTAACTAATCAGGCCAAAGAAATACTTTTAAAGTTAAAATGTATTAATAGAAATCCAATAGAGAATTATGAGCTATAATAAACACTTTGAATATAGTAGACATCTAAAAATGATTTTGCAACTAAATTGTTGCAAGAAATAATAAAAACTTATTATTCCTTTTGTTTTTTTTTAAAAAAACAAAAAACCTCTTTTTTTCTTTATTGATTTTTAGAGAGAGAGGAAGGGAGAGGGAGAAAGAGAAACATTGATGAGAGAGAACATTGATTGGCCCCTCCTGCATGTCCCCCAGTGGGGATCTGGCCAAAACCTGGGCATGTGTCCTGACCAGGAATCAAACCGGTGAACTCTTGGTGCCACTGAGCTACACTGGCTAGACTATTGTTGCTTTTAACTTTATAATAAATTCAAATAGAGAACTTAAATTATTTTATATTTTGTATTTTATTTTGAGTGCCACTCAATATGAAAATCCTATTTTATACATAGCTATTGTAATAAAGAGAAGAAAATGAACTCCACAATAATAAACTAGTAATCTTGAATTAAGCTATTTCAAATATTATTAATGCTTACATTTTGTATAGATTATCACTATCCCTACTACAAAAATAAAAGGTCAGTTGTTTAATTTTACTTTAGATAATCTGACTTTATGTTATTTCATTTGGTCATATTTGAGAATCACAAACTCTTTACTTTTTAGTTTTCTCCTTTTAGCCACAAAAACTGTTTTCATATAATTTAAGCAAAATATACATGTATGACATTGTATATTTAAATAATAAAAAGATACATAACATGTTTGATGTTTCATAATATAATATAAAAAATAAATTTTAAAATAAGAATACTCATTAGCATTTCTTTAAGGATGCTTTAGAAAATACTACTTAATAGAGCTACAGTAATTATGCATTCAGCATTAGTGACAATTAGAATGCATTGAAATTTTCTGACTCTGCCATGCTTTTTATTGCTAGGATGTTTCTCTCCATTTATCTGACCAGTTGTCACAGATAATTTTTTTTTTTTTAAATAGAGCTGAACTAAAAAGAGAGGCTTTTAATGTTCTTAAATATTTCAACTGGAACATCGGCTTGTTTATATGTTCAACATATATTACTATTGAAGTTAGCTGATACTGAGGGTGTTCTCTAACTCATCGGTTTTAGAAAAGGATTCTGTGCGTGCCTGATCTATGGAAATGACAGTGCATGGAATTATAGAATCCTTTTACAGCTTCGTAAAGCTTGCCACTTTGTTACTGTCCTTTCAGAATGTCCAGGCCAGTTCCTACCCCAGGAGTCCAACCCCATGGAATCAGGCTGGATGATTCCAGTCATCTCCCCAGAAAAAGTCTGGCTAAGGCTGCAGCTCACAAAGGGCCTTTCCTGTACAGTGACATCCTAATTGATCCAGAGACATGGAAGTAAGGAACAGACTAACAAACCTCAGAGGGATGGGGGTGGGAAGAGATAAGCCAAAGAACTTATATGCATATACAATATACACAACCAATGGACACAGACATTAGGTTGGGGAAAGCAGGAGTGGGGTGGCAGTGGGGAGGAGGGGGTAAATGGGGATAAAGGGGGGCATCTGTAATACTTTCAACAATAAATAAAACAAAACAAAATAAAATAAAATGGCATCCTACTTCTATAAGCCATAATCAAGTGAGTTTTGTAACTCATTATCATTCTTCCATATGTTTTGGAGTAGAATCATTCAACTGAGAGAAATTAAAACTAGAAAAAGAACGTATTTTAATTGTATCTAACTCCATAGAAGTTTAAGAACAATATAAGCTTTATCTAGGTCTCTTTATTAGTAAAATACAGTGTTGTTGAAGCAACCATTTTGTTTGTTAAAAAGTTGAATGTTGAGATTATATTAGGGTATTGTTGTGTGATGACATCTAAACAAGAAAGAATATGCTGCCCTGGCCAGTTTTGCTCAGCGGTTAGAGCATCGGCCTGCGGTCCGGAGAGGCCCGGGTTCGGTTCCCGCTAAGGGCATGTACTTCGGTTGCAGTTTGTCCCCGGCCCTGGTTGGTCGTGCGGTGGCAGCCACTCGATGTGTCCCTTCACGTCGATGTTTCTCTCTCTCTCTCTCCCTCCCACTCTATCTGTACAAAAAATGGAAAAATATCCTCGGGTGAGGATTAAAAACAAAACAAAACAAAAAACAAAAAAAAAGAAAGAAAGAATATGCTATTACAAACTACAAAAATAGAACTGAAACTTGTTCAAGGTAAAACAATGTATATGAAAATATTTGAATGAGTTTGAGTTCAATCACTTCTATTAAAAGATGTATGATTCTGTACTAATCAGGCCATTTCTGTGAACAGTTTCTTCTTCTATGCTATCAGAAAAGATGTGCTCTGTTTATTTCCAAGATTTTAGGAAGAGCTTATAATACAATTTAATACAATGTTATAAAAATTTAGTTAATACAGCATATGTAACAAACATTTTGTTGATGCTTTCCAAGTAATTATTATTATGTTTACACAAACCTATTATAAATTATGAATTACCACACAAATATATAGAAATATTATTATATGTAGGATGACTCTTATCCTTTGATATTAAGTAATTTAGCCTTTCCCCTTTTGAAAACATCAAGTGACATTTGAGAACACCTATTACTTTCCATCAAGCCACTGGTAATTTAACATTATGTAGAAATAATACGCCTTTGCAAGAATAAAAAATATGTATTAGCTAGCTTCCTTATTAAAAAACAAAGACTCAAAAATAAAATCCAGCTATACAAGAGACCAACTTAAAGTAAAATGGTATGTAAAAGTTAAAAATAAAAGGATAAAAATGATAATAATTTGGACTAATGAAACAAGAAGGCTGAGGTAGCAATAATAATAAAAATAAAGCGAATTCAAAGCAAAAATAATTATACTGGATCGAAAATGGTCATTTTATATTGAAAAACATTCAATCTAGATTCACCGGGCGAGCAGGCGGCGCGGGCAGCTGACGGGACAGCGGACCACACGCGGGACCGGTGTCCACAGCGCAGCGGTCCCGGCCCACACCTTCAGGTGCGGAGCGCACAAGAGCTGTCCCACCAGGCGAGGGAGCGTGGACACGGCGGGGCTCACGGAGCTGGGCAGGCACAGCTCTGAGGTGAAGAAAAGGTGGTGTGATTTTGAGTATTCTGAGCATTTGGAAGGAAGCCAGACATGTCTTTGGATGACATTAAGATGCAATCCAGTGACTTCCTGGAGAAGGGAGTATGTAGACAGCGGGGGCTTCGGGGAGGTGTCTTTGTGTTTACACAGATCCCATGGACTGAAAAAGGTGTACACGGGGCCAAAGCGCATGGAGCACAATGAGTACAAGCTGATGCACAAGCTGAGGCACCAGCGGGTGTGAAGCTCCTGGGAATCATCATAGACGAGGGGAACTACTCGCTCGTGATGGACTACATGGAGAAGGGCAGCCTCATGCACGTGCTCGAAGCCAAGACCAGTATCCCCCTTTCTGTGAAAGGAAGGATAATTATGGAGACCATTGAAGGAATGTGCTATTTACATGGAGAAGGTGTAATGCACAAGGACTTAAAGCCTGAGAATATCCTTGTTGATGACAACTTTCACATTAAGATAGCTGATCTTGGCGTTGCTTCCTTTAAGACAGGGAGTAAGCTGACTAAAGAGGAACACAATGAGCAGAAGAAAATGAATAGTGCTTCTGAGAATGGTGGCGCCCTCCATTACATGGCCCCTGAGCACCTGAATGATATCAGTGCCAGGCCCTTGGAGAAGTCAGACGTGTACAGCTTTACCATAGTCCTGTGGGCAATATTTGCAAACAAGGAGCCATATGAAAATGCTATCTCTGAGCAGCAGATGATAATATGCATTACATCTGGGAACAGGCCAGATGTGGACATCATCATCGAATACTGCCCGAAGGAGATTATCAGCCTCATGAAGCAGTGCTGGGTGGCAGATCCAGAAGAGCCGCCAACATTTGCCGGTATTGAAGAAAAATTTAGGCCTTTTTATTCCTGTAATCTTGAAGAATATGTAGAAGAAGATGTGAAGAGTTTAAAGAAAGAGTATCCCAGCCAAAATGAAGTTGTGAAGAGAATGCAGTGTCTCCAAATAGATTGTGTAGCAATACCTCCAAGCAGGTCCAATTCAGCCACAGAACCGCCCAGTTCGCTGCATAGTGCACAGGGATTCAGGATGGGTCCTGTGGAGGCATCCTGGTTTGCTCCCTCCCCAGAGCACCAGCAGGAGGAGAATGGGCTCAGACTGCAGAATAAACTCCAGGAGGAAGCCAACTAGCATCTTTTTGGCAGCTGCATGGACAAACAAACAAAACAGCAACCCAGACAGAATGTGGCTTACAACAGAGAGGGGGACAGGAGACGAAGAGTCTCCCATGACCCTTTTGCACAACCAAGGCCTTACGAAACTGTTCAGAACCCAGGGATAAGTGGCCTTGCTTCTTCCGATGCAGCCAGTCATGGTAATGCAGTACACCAACCAGTTGGACTGACCAGCGAAGCCCAAGTACCCCACTGGAACAATGGACCACATAGTCTGCTTGGTTTTAGAACAAGATCACTGGGCGTGGGAACAGTAGGTTCCCAATTTTGGTATAGGCCAAATCCAAGCCATATGCCACACCTGCATAAAACTACAGTGCTGAGACCAACCTACTGGGAAACATGCCCACCATTCCATTCACCTCCCTGACACCAACAGTTGAGGCTGTAAAATGTTCCATTTACAACAGTGCTGGCATTCAGATTGGAGACAATAATCATATGGAGGTTGGTGGAGTGAGTTTACCATTACTGGACAGCACATACATGAACTTGAAAGAGCCAGCTTCGAAGTAACAACATATCCTTGATAATGCCGCTAGTCTGACTGATAAACACCTGGACCCAGTCAGGGACAATCTGGGAAGGACCTGGAAAAGCTGTGCCTGTAAACTGGGCTTCACTGAATCTCAGATTGATGAACTTGACCATGACTGTGAGCAGGATGGATTGAAAGAGAAAGTTTACCAGATGCTCCAGAAGTGGCTGATGAGGGAAGGCAATAAGGGGGCCACAGTGGGAAAACTGGCCCATGCTCTCTATCAGTGTCCACACGTAGACCTTTTGAACTCTCTGGCATGTATCAGCCAGAACGAACTCCAGAAGGAGCTTTGGCAGCGTGAAGTAAACCCCTCACTTAGTGGGTATTCCACTAAAAGTGTGCTGCCTCACTGATAATGGGTTCTCTGTCTGCATGAAAATCATTCCCCAAATTTCATAGCCAGAGAAAGAAATCTATAGTAAAAAACCTGATAAACTGGAAGACCTATTAATGGCCGAGCCTGAATGAGAAAAGAAGCCAGAGTGGGCGCGGCTGCTGGAACTAGGGGTTGTGGGAGGTGAGCGTCCACCTCATTCCCGCAGTTCTGCCATCCCGACCCACGCTCGGCCAGGTCTCTCTGTGGAGTGACACTGCCGTGGCTTCTGAGGACCTGTCGTCCAGCCTGTGTGGCAGGAAGTGGCGGTGGCCTCCACATCCTGAGAGAATCTGAAATCCATCCATCACCCATTCTTCAAAATGCAATGGAATGTACCAAGACTATTCCAGATGGCACATAGGACATACATGGAACCTTATAAAGCTGGTCTCTTTGGACACTGTCAAAATATAAAAGGACCATTACTTTTGTATACAGCCGAATCCAGAGTAGTTTTGGTACAGGGCCCTCAAAAACAATGGCTGCATTTATCTGCTGCTCAGTGCACTGCAAAGGAAAGAAAGCCATTTGATGTTCATTAACCACAATGAGGGGTTCTTCACCATAAACAGTGGGAGCAAGATACTTTCTCTAAGAGGGTTATGTTATCCAATGCCACATCTCCAGAAAGTCCTTCAGAAAAAAAGGAAGACCCTGATCCTTTACACAACAAATCTATTAGCCTTTATCAACGATTTAAGAAAACATTTAGACAATATGGAGAAGTCTTGATTCCAGTGCATCTAATAACTTCTGGTGTTTGGTTTGGAACATTTTATTATGCAGCCATAAAAGGAGTGATTGTCGTTCCTTCTCTAGAGCTTACTGGGTTCCCTGACAGCATAGTAAACATTCTGAAAGATTCCCAGGGTGGAAATGCACTAACAGCATATGCCTTGGTTAAGATTGCAACACCTGCCCGGTATACTGTGACTTTGGAGGGAACCTCTTGCACTGTGAAGTGTTTGCGTAGTCACAGCTACATGTCAACACTGCCTCCTGTTAAGGAGTATCTATAGGATAGGATGGAAGAGACAAAGGAACTTCTCACAGAGAAAATGGAAGAAACGAAGGATAGACTTACTGAAAAATTATAAGAAACCAAAGAAAAAGTTTTCTTTTTTTTTAAAAAAAGTGGAATAGGGTGCCTTATATAAGAGATTATAAACAATTGCTGCACTTTAACCCTTTAGAGACCAAGGAAAAAAATCCTGAGTATCTTTTTGGTTAGTTGCCTAAATATGCCAGTTCTCTGAAGGTTAAAGAAGTAAGATAACTTTTTTAACATTAAATGTCACTAGAAAAATGCATTTGTTTGTTTTTTGAAAAGAATAAAATGAACCCAGTATAAGAATTTCCCATCAATAGCAGCAGTAAGCAGTGGTCAGTGTCTAAGTCAGAGTTCTTCTTCAAGGTCTTCAGAAGCATACTTGCTTTGTTTGCTGCAGCTACACTTCAGGCAGACAAGGCAATTGACTTCTTGAATAATTGATGTGGCCCTAGACAGGAAATTAAACCTTGGTCTTCATCTTTGTTGTTCATTAAGGTTTTAACTATATTCCGTTCTCATTCTCAATATGGAGACAAACTTTTGTCATCAAATCTGCCTGTGAATGAGATGATAGTTCTATAATTGTGTTACAATGAACATAATAGACTTTATATGAAGAAAGTTGAATAAAAATTAAGTCATACATGTAAATAAGATGTATTGGTTATATAAAAATGGAAAATTGACCATTCAAAAATGACTTTTACTTGCATCTTGTCATAATCAAAATGTTAAAGCAAATATATAGGGCCATAGTACCTTTCCTCCTAGAACATAAAACTACTGTGAATTGTTTTGTGTCCTTTTCAACTAATTTTTCAGAGAGAACGTTAAAATAATTGCACCTTAAGTTTCTTGTTGAAATCAGATTATCTTCAGCAGTAACTCAAGGCTGTGGTTCTCAGGAAAACAAAGGCTCGGAAGGGTGGAAAACGGCGCTGGGTCGGCACGGAGCTCTCTCCTGGCCGCTCGGCGGGTCTTGTCTCCGCCAACCAGCGCTCTTTCCCAGTGTCTTCTCAGAGTTAATGTCTATCTCACTACGGAATACATTTTGAAATTGTAAAAAAAAAAAAAGAGAGAAAGAAAAAAGAAGCCTAACTGGGTTTTGAAAGGGAAAGAAGAGATATTCAAGGAAGATCATTTTCTTTTTAAATTTATCTTTATTGTTGAATGTGTTACAGATGTCTCCCTATTTTCTCCCTTGACCCCCTCCTCCCCACTCCTGTCCCCCTCCTGCCTTTCCCATGTTATTGTCTGTGCCCATTGGCTATGCATGTAAGTTCTTTGGTTTATCTCTTCATGCCCCAACTGCCCCCTTCCCTTTGAGCTTCCTCAGTCTAACAACCAATTTGTACTTCTTAATCTGATCCCCCAAACCCCCTCCCATCCAACAACCATCAGAAAGTTCTCTGTATATGGCCCTGGCCGTTTTGGCTCAGTGGTAGAGCATCGGCCCTCGGACCAATGAGTTGCGTGTTTGATTCTGGTCAATGGCACATACTTCAGTTGTGGTTTGTCCCCAGCATTGGTCAGGGTCCTGTGGGAGGCAACCAATCAATCTGTCCCTCTCATGTCTATGTTTCTCTCTTTCTCTCCCTCTCACTCTATCTTAAGATATATAGAAACATATCTTCGGGTGAGGATTAAAAAAATAAAAAATAAATAAAAATAAAAGTTCTTTGTATCTATGAAAAAAAAAAGAAAAGAAAAACATTCAATCTATAATGAACAGACAGAATCCTTGTGAATGGACTCATATATAGAACAACATACAGTAAAACCTTTTAGAGTTACATAAAATGACAATCATATTGGAAGACTGAAATCTTTCTCAGATATAATAAGCAAAATTAAATGAGAATAAAAAGAATTTGAATAATATGAAATGATTAAACAAACAAATAGTGATATTTGTACTGTCAGATAATATGCATATTTTAGTAATTCAACATTTATAGAAATTAATACATATAAGACCATTAAAGCAAAATATTGCAAAGTTGCAATTGAATAGTTACTCTATTTATTCACAATGCATTGACATGAGATATTAGTTCAAGATTTTAACTAGAAAAGATTTACTTAAAATTTCAAAGAAGTTATTGATAATTAAATCTATTGTTATATTAGGAAAAAAGCAACATACATACCAAATAAAAAACACCAAGAAAAAATTATCTTCAAGGAAATAGCAGTTTACTTTTCAATGACAATCATAAGATAATGTATCCAATGTTCTATAAGAAAATATTTACCAATTTATAATTCTATACCTATTGTTCAAGAATAAAGATAAAAATAAGAACACTTTAACAAAAATAAAATTATAGAATTTAAAACTAGCAGATCTGTACTAGGGGAGATAGGAAAGAATACTCTTCAGACAGAAAAATATATATTATTTTAATATAGACTTTGTAGATATGAGTAGAAAAGCATAGATAAATTTGAAAAAGATTATGGTCAATATAAATGAATATTTTTCAATCAGTTAATAGTAATATCTTCCTGAGTTTACAATTTAGATAAGATGGCAATATACTACAACAATGGTATTTAAGTCAGAAAGGGGGTAAATGGAGTTTAAAGTTCTTTGGTTCTTGTAAAGACAAAAATGAAAGAGCCAATGAATATTAGACTTAATAATTCAAGGAATCATGTCTTAATTTATAAAGAAATATTATAGTATGTCAAAGAAGAGTAATAGAATATATAACTTTCCTGCTAATACAGACAAAAATTGGAGTAAAAACTAATAAATTTAAATAAAATAAAGGAGAGAAAAATTAATGTAAAACTACTGGAATAAATTATAAGACATAGATTTAAACAAATCAGTAATGATGTTAAATTTAAATTTGCATTTAAATCTTATTTAAGCCTAAATAGACAAAAAGATGAAGACTATCATACTAGAAAAATAAACATTTTATATTCTTTACATGAGACATTTAAAACATAAGAATATAGAAAGGATGAAATCAAAAGGCCGGTAAAAGGTACACCACACAAATATTAACCAAAAGAATGCCAGTGTAGCAATTATAATATGAGACAAGTGTATTTTTAAGGCAAAAAGCATCTTTAAAGATAAAATGGGTCACTTCAAAATGATTAAAGATGTAATTCAAAAGGAAGATATAATAATTCTAAATTTGTATGTAAATAAAGAGACTCAGCTAACAGCACAGACTCAAACTCAAGATAAAATAAAAGCTTTTTAACAAAACAATAAAGATCAATTCCTCTATGAATATTTAAAAAATATGAATAAAATTTGATCTAATTAACATGCATAAAATTCTATACTCCAAACTTCAGAATATACATTCTTGTCACTTACTGCAACAATTGACCATATTCTGTACCACAAGGCAAGTCTCAACAATTTCAATGGACTGACGTTACAGTGTGTCCTTTGACAAAAAATGCAATTAAAATACAAATGAATCACTTTTTAAAAAGCAAGGACAAAAATTGTAACCTTTTAAAATTAAGAAATAAGATTTAAAATAACCCATAGATCAATGAAATAAAAATGAATTAGAAAAAAAATTAGAACATAAGTTTAACTAAATGGTAACAAAAGCACTACATTTTGAAACCTAGAGAAAGTTGTATTTAGAGGAAATGTTTTATTTTTAAATTTATGTACTAGAAAAAAGATAAAGCAGAAAGACAATCAGCATTAGCTCATCTATCTCAAGAAGTTTGTTTGTTTGTTTTTTAAGGATAGCAAGTGAAATCCAAATAAAATACAACAAGCAACATAGAGAATATGGATATCAATGAAAAAAGAAACAATATACTATAGAGAGAATCACAAAAAGTCAAATGTTGATTGTTGGAACAGACTAATAAAATCGTTAATTCTTGGTAAGAGTATCAAGGGAAGGAAAAGGCAAGAAGGAAATAGATTTGTTTCA